ACCCGCGGCTCAGGCAATCCACTCACCTCAGCCGCCCAAAGGCGCAGGATTACAGGCTGAGCCACTGAGCCTGGCTGACCTAATCACTTCTTAAAGGTCCTACCTCTCAACTCTGTTGTGCTGGGGATTAAGTTTCCGACACATGAACTTTACGGGGCATGTTCAAACCATAGCAAGAGCTATGGCCTTTACCAGGATCATACTTCAAGTGCAGCGGGGGCACAACCCACCCAAGGGAAAGGGGATCCCAGTCCTCTCAGACCTAATACCTGCCTCTGGGGCCTTGGAAGGGAAACCCCTCAGATGGTCATAATTCCAGGGGGCTGGCAGTCTTTTCTATTTTCATATATTTGCAACCACTGTCTCACTGTTCCTATAAATGCCACATTTCTGCTACTCACTGAGAGGTGTCTTGATCTCTGAGCTTATGTATCAGGGCAGGACATAATAGAGGGACAGTAATTTGTGTGACTAAGGGGAGAAACATGGGCAAAAAGAAGGAGGATCAAAAGAACAAACACCTCTTGAGCACAGACAGACTTTTCAGTCCCCTGAGCTAAGGGAGTCAGTCAGTGCAGACGCTTCCAAGGGGTGGGTTGGACCTGCTGACCCACGCCTTCCTTCTGCCTTCTCCCCCAGGGATGCCACATCATTTCAAGCATTCTTCCGACCCAAGGCATGGAATGCTGGCCCAGGAAAGGTATGGTGGTTGGCTACTCTGTAGCAGTATTTTGTTTTCTTAAGATATGGGGTACAATTCAGGGTTAGGGATACAAACATTGATTACGCAGGTACCCTTGTGGATTGTGTAGCAGTTTTGAACATCCTCAAGTTATCCGGGAGGAGGGGGAAGGAGAAGAGCAAACGAGAACATTCTCGTGAGATCAATGGGCATGAGCTCTTTGGAACACCCTCGGCACAGAGCTGAGCATCCACGGGGCTTCTCAGACCTGACCACTAGGGTTTTCCGTGCCCCAGTAGCGGAGACAGATGAATAAATATGTACCCTGGCCGGGTTCAGTGGCTCAGCCTGTCATCCCAGCACTTTGGGAGGCCGGGGCGAGTGGATTGCCTGAGCCTGCGGGTTCAAGAACAGCCCAGGCAACTTGGCAAGATCTCATGTCTACAATAAACCAGAAAATGAGCCGGGCGTGGTAGCACGTGCCTGTAGTTCTGGCTACTTGGAAGGCTGAGGTGGAAGGATCGCCAGAGCCCAGCAGGTCAACTCTGGGGTGGCCATAAACATGTGTGCCATTACACTCCAGCCTGGGCAACAGAGTGAGACTCCAACTCAAAAAACAAACAAAAAAAAGTACCCCTGAGGTGTAGGGAGCAGAGTCTTAAGATTCTTATCTTGAATATTCCTGTGAATATCACACTCTGCTCCTCAAAATATTTACTTACCAGCCGGGTTCGGTGGCTCAGCGCCTTTGGGAGGCTGAGGTGAGTGGATTGCCTGAGCCTGCGGGTTCGAGACCCGCCTGGGCAGGCGAGACCTCATCTCTACAATAAAATTTAAAAATCAGCCGGGCATGGTAGCGCATGCCTGTAATTCCGGCTACTCGGAAGGCTGAGGCGGAAGGATCGCCGGAGCCCAGCAGGTCGAGGCTGCGGTGGCTGGGAGCGGCCACTGCACTCCAGTCTGGGCGACAGAGTGAGACTCCAACTCAAAAAAAAAAAAAAAAATTTACTTACCATAAAAGTCACATTTAAAATGCTCACCCCAGAGTAAACGCCAAGCCCTGGGAAGATGCTCCATGTTTGCCCAGAGGGTTTGCAGACCTTCGGGGCCCTGTTCCATAACCCTAAGTAACAAACAAGCATCACTTTCCGCCTCCTTGTGCTCCTGCATTCCCTCACTGAAGCTTCACAGCAACCCTAGGAGGTAATTTTTACAGATGAGCAAAATCACCATGGAGAAGTCAGGGTACCTCACTCAGGTTCACTCAGAAGAGGAGGTCCTGGGATTTGAGCCTCTGATCTAGAACCTGGCTCAACCACTGTGCAATACAGCCCCCTACCCCCACCCCAGATCTGTGTGCTGCTATTGAGCGGGGTGATGACTGTTGTTCTGGATTAATACAGGCTTAAGAGGTGTTTTCAGTGCCCAAGAGGCTGAATTGGGACATGTTGACCGAAGCCTCAGGAAGAAAGATTTCACTGCATGCAAGAGCTTAGTGGCAGCCAAGCTGTTCAGGCACAGGGCAAGTAGCTGTGGGCAGGTGATGGGGCCTTGTGAGAGGCCTCAGGCGTTTTCCAATTACTTTGATCTGGTCATCTTTGAGACTTCTCTTTTTTTTGAGTAGGAGTCTCACTCTTTTGCTCACGGCCATGTGGCCTTGACCTGCTGAGCTCAGGCAATCAATCCTTCCACCTCAGCCTTCCAAGTAGCCGGAACTACAGGCATGTGCTACCACGCCCGGCTTATTTTATTTTTTTTTGTAGAGACAAGCTGTCACCAAGTTGCCCAGGCCAGTCTTGAACCCCTGAATTCAGGCAATCCTCTCACCTCGGCCTCCCAAAGTGCTGGGATTATAGGCTTGAGCCATTGCACCTGGCATCTTTGAGGTTCCTAAAGCCCTTTCCACCCTGAGCTGCTTGATGTTAATTGATATATATACCCACCTGGTCTAAAACAAAGGATTTAAGGTGGCTTTTGGACACATATAACAAAGCAAAAATGTAAAATAAAATAAAATTAGGAAACAAGTGAAAGAAAAGTAAAGGTAGGAAAATAAGGCAAAGCAGGAAAATTGTGCCGCATGGTGGAAGAGATGGGCCACATATCTGACTCTGAGCTTCCTGGCGGTCAGAGCTAAGAAGGGAACTTTTATCCATCAGATAAAAGCAAGCCAGCTGTCCAAGTGAAGCACAGCCTTTCCTGATATGGAGACTGAAGATTCTTCTCCAGGAGCCTTGTAAAGATCGCCCTTGAAAATACCCCTGTGATAGGGCAACCCCTTCATGTCCCCTCCCACTGTGAGAGCTTTTCTGTCCTTTCAATAAATCCTGCTTTAAAAAAAAAAAAAAAAAAAAAAA